CACTTGATGATCTCAAACCCACTTGATGATCTCAAACCCACTTGATGATCTCAAACCCACTTGATGATCTCAAACCCACTTGATGATCTCAAACCCACTTGATGATCTTAAACCCACTTGATGATCTCAAACCCACTTGATGATCTTAAACCCACTTGATGATCTCAAACTCACTTGATGATGTCAAACCCACTTGATGATCTCAAACCCACTTGATGATGTCAAACCCACTTGATGATGTCAAACCCACTTGATGATCTCAGGGTCGGCCTGCTTGACATGAAGCCCTTTGAAGTGGGTGACCTCGTCGATGAAGCGCCCAGCATCGTCCACGGGACAGATGGGGCGCTGGTCGCGGGTGATGATGCCGTAGCCCAGACACACCCTGAAGTCGTCCTCGCCGAAATAGGGCGCCTGGTGGACAATGCCCGTGCCAGACTCTGCCGACACGTACGAGTCGCACAGCACACGGAACGCGCCCCGAGACTTTTGCTGCAAACGGAGGAGTTCAGAATTCAAAGAGGTTAATAATTTGAATATATATTCAGAGGGCACCAATTACAATAGAAAGAAATTGGGATTGAGAAGTGGAAAAGAAAGAGCATCATCAAAAGAAAGGAGCAGTTCAATAATAAAAGGCAGAGAAAAAATAACGTTGATAAAAAAAGAAGATTAAGAGTACAAGGGACATTTGAGATATCGGATATGACATAAGGATGGTGGCAACGGCAAGATCTAAATAGCAAAAGCAAAAGATTACTATGGAAAAGAATTAACGACAAAATAAATTATTTCGGACGAAATACAGTGAGGAAATTTAGAGTGAGGAGAATAACCTAAAAATAGACTGCAACCTGTGAAAAGTGGACATTGAGTTCCGTTATGTTATAAATAAAATGACTGAGTACGCAATATGTAAAGAAGAATTGATAGTTCCTGATCAGTATTGGCGCATCCTGCAAGCATAGGCGTCAAGGGCTATTATTTGAGGACCAACATGTAAGTTTTTTAGACAAGCCAATGACTGTATTGATCATGCAGTAAAAGTTTCATACAATATGTACCGATTATAAATGATGTAATTCATTGAGACCCACCTCTTTAAAGTAGTCAAAGAGGGGCACATACTCGGTGCCCTCCAGCTGCTTGCCTGTATATCTGGCAAGCACCTCGCAGTCCTCAGCAGGGTTCTTGAAGAGCTGCACCAGGCGGTCTTCCATCAGGATGAAAACGCCCTCACACTCCTTTGTCTGTAAAAATGAAATTATACTGTAAACCTAAACTATATTGAGCCATTATAAAGATTCTTTCTACCTCATGCTACAAAATAGTTGAGAGGAAACTTAAACTTTGCAATTAACTCAAAATTACCATATATTTCAGAATAAACATGATCAAATCAAATGCCAGCGATCCGCCTTTCGGATGGAAGTGAGGGTGATAGTTTGAATCATAAACACATAAATGCCACAAGACCTTCCTTGTGCATAAAAGTGGCGTGCAGAAAATAGCAACCAAGCAAGCGAATCAAATACAAGATTTAAAGATACTGCAACATTGAGTGATGACAGATCTCAGAAAGCACTTGCTATATCATGCATAAACATTCCTGAACCCATATATATATTGTTAACAAACGCTGCTAAATTAGCCAAAGTGTAAAGATTACTTCAATATTTCTTTTAAACATCAAAAGCCAAGCAATACCTTTCCGCGGACTTTGACATATTTCATGTCAGGGTTGACACAGAGGGCAATATTTGAAGGCAGCGTCCAGGGCGTGGTAGTCCAAGCAACCAGAGCAGCTCCACCGCTGCCAACTTCACATGCAGTGTCCAACACTGGGAACTGCACCACCACTGCAACATGCGTAATATTGTTAGCTGACCATACTAAACTCGGTGATGTGGCACAATTTATTGAAATGTTCCCACCACTGCAACATGCGTAATATTGTTAGCTGACCATACTAAAATCTGTGATGCAACACAACTTATTGAAATGTTCCCACCACTGCAGCATGCATAACATTGTCAGCTGGCCATACTAAACTCGGTGATGTGGCACAATTTATTGAAATGTTCCCACCACTGCAACATGCATAACATTGTCAGCTGGCCATACTAAAATCGGTGATGTGACACAATTTAATAAAAAGTACGAGTATGATATGACAATATTTAGAAACGCTGAAAACGAATAAGGCAAAAACTCTGGAGTTGACATGCAGAATATGGGCTGTATGGTTTAATGTGTAACAAAATTACAAGTACATAATATAGTGAAACAAGAACGACGGTAAAGCAAAATTATTCAACAATCAAAGCTCACACCCTTTCATTTGTAGTGTATTTATAGTATCCCGGACCTTAAGGGCCCAAACTGAGCATGGAAGGATCGCTGTCGTATGCACCCAGCATGTGTAGCAGAACAGTAGTGAACAATGTCATGTTTAATAAAGGATGAAAACTATCTTCGTAAGCAACTACAGACCACTAGGGTCCTGAGTGTCCTTGTAGTTTTGGCCAGCCTCGAAGTTGGAGAGGGGAGTGGAGCAGGCAGTTGAGAAGGGCATGACTTTAACGCCGCGGTATACAAGGCCTTTGGCGTAGAGCTGAGAGAATATCCACCAGATACTCTCCATGTACCAGGGGTACAGAGTCTTGTAGTCATTGCGGAAATCTGGAGTAGTGAGGAACATGATAATTTCACACATTTAAGTTAGTTAGTTCAGTGGTCATAACTGATGGCGCTTTTTCATACATTTGAATACAAATATATTGTAGGAGCGTAAGTGATCACATGAATTGAAGAGCTGGGACCTCTAACATTAACATACAAGTTGTTTCAATCCAAGGAATGAGCAAGCTGATACTCTTATAGAGGAAACACTAGCAATAGCAAGCAATAATGGTTTTGACAAATGCAATTTATTAGAAAAATTTGAATGCAGCTTAAATTAAAATGTTTCATTATAGCAAAATGATGAATTTCCCATTTTCAACTCATATACTGGGATGCAAATGAAAAACAAAATCAACCCCAGTGAATCTGGGATGAAAAATAAAATTTAAAATTATTGAACTCCTCGTGACTAGGATTCCATGAAAAATTTAATAGTTAACTCGTTCCAAATTAAACATTTTCTCCACAAATCCCTCGAAAATTATGTTTCAAAAACTTATGGATGAACAATGAAGTAAGCCTTTTAAAACTTACCAATCCAGCGTCCAAATCTTGTGATAATTTTTTCCCAGTCTTCAGCATAACGCATGACAATGCCACGGCACAGGGCATTATACTTGGCTATTCCCATGGCAGCCACGTCCTCAGGGCCCTTGATGTTGTGGGTCTTGTCAATCTCGTACTCCTGCGGTCATAAGAAATTGAAAATATTGACTTGTTCTTGAACTATTGTCATCAATTTTGGGAAATTTATTGAGAAGGAAATAGCTATTTGAAAGTTGCTAGCTCATTAATATCTTTGAATTTTAAACACTTATTTGAAACAAGCAGCTATACTGCTTAGAATGACAAATGTGAATAAAATATAGTACATCATATATATAAATATTTAATTAGTATCTAATTGACTCACTTGCTTGGATTGCAGATGCAAATTTATATGTTATTTAAAAATGTTAAAGATTTGTCATTTACCCAAATAATAAGAGATTTGTCTGTGAAGGTTCCAACCTTATCTACTCACCACAGGAAGCCCGTGAGTATCCCAGCCAAATCTGCGCTCAACATGATGGCCTGTCTGGTGGGCATAGCGTGTCACCACGTCCTTGATGGTCCCAGCAAGAATATGCCCATAGTGAGGCAAACCAGTGGCAAATGGTGGTCCATCATAGAATGTGAACCTGAAAAATATAATTTTATTCTACTATCATGATTATAAGAAGTAGACAGAATTAAAAATACAGGTTAAATAGCCTTCAGAGGTACATTGAGACTGCAGCAGTCATTAGTACAGAGGCCAGTTTAGGGAAAAGCTTGTCTTCCAGAAGTCAAGTTTGTATACTTGCAATTATCAGATTATAAAAGTTTGTTTAAACATCATAATAGTTTACAAAATTGATATCTGTACATAGCAGATTAATTTTAAGTTTAAAAAAATGAATCATTCATAAATCTTTTCATAACTAATTAATTTCACAAAAAAATATCAGCATAAAAACAATTGCTTATATTAATATGTAGAGTATTTTTGAAATGGCCACTCATCCAAAAAATAAAAAAAAAGGAAAAAAAAACTCACTTGGGCTTGTCTTTGCTTTGCTTCAGGCAGTTGTGAAAAACATCAATTTCTTTCCACAATTTCAGTACTTTTTCCTCTTCTCCTGGAAAGGATATTTGGTCTACATCAGGAATTGGAGCTAGTCTGTCTTCCTGTTTGGCCATTGCTGCCAAAATCACTAGCTATTTCTGAAATAAATAAAATAGAACAACAAAGATATTAATCAGAATTAAATAATGCAGGCAATTGATCGCATGCATTGATGGCTGCAGAGAGAAACTGTGGCACATGCAAGGATAATCTCCACCTGAACGGCCATGAACTCAACCTTACTGAATATTATGAGTGACATTTAAAAAATTTACCCCCTGCAGTACAATGAATGTGAGAACCAACAATATTTTTTGTGAGCTACAAATAAAAAAATGTGAGCATGAAATTTTGCAAGCTTTCATTTTTGAGGTTAAAAGATTATGCAATTCAGACTAGATTTTCACAATGGTAAAAGATGGAAAACGAAGGCAAAATTTATATCAATGAATTGAAAAATGGTCAACTTCCAGAGTGCTCAAGAAGATTGAAGCAAATAAAGAAATAATTAGTGTAAATTGTTTTACTAGCCATGTTAACTGACTCATTACTATAGTGAGATCTTTTGCTGTCAGATCAAGTAGAACTGAGGTCAAGTAGATACCTATTGCGGTACTTCTTTAGATTAAGTGCATCCAAAGAAGGGTGTTTAATTTAATTATATGTTTTTTGGGGTGTAGATTAAGAATCTGAAATCCATTTTTGGCAGTACCAATTTTTTTCCAATGTTTTATATATTTTCTATAGAAAACAACAATGGGGGACCCGTGGGGAACTGGGGGTTTTAGGGGGGGGGACACGCCCAAGGCTCTAATTCGTCAAAAAAAATTGGGCAAAAATCGGCAAAAAATTGGAAAAAAAAATCGAAAATTTTTTTTTGACTGGAAATGATCTATATCGATCTGGGAATGACTGTAAACAGTAAACCTATGTAAAACCCAAAAATCGCGCTAGGTTAGGTTAGGTTAGGTTAAAATTTTCTGATTTTTTCCAATTTTTTGCTGATTTTGCCAATTTTTGCCCGATTTTTTTTTGACGAATTAGAGCCTCGTGCGTGTCCCCCCCTCTAAAACCCCCGGTTCCCCACGGGTCCCCTATTGTCGTTTTCTATAGAAAATATATCTATATATAATATATAAATATATAATAATATATATAATATATAAATAAAAATCAGTTTTCCGATGCCGACCACCAAAAACGGATTCCAGATTCTTTATCTACACCCCAAAAAACATATAATTAAAAAAAAACTTTTTTTTTTATGCACTTAATCTGATGTTTTACTCCTATTGCATAGCAAAACAAATTCAACAGCGAGTGTTGAGTCCAATACCCAATGAGAAAGCCCCTAAGCAAGTCTTATAGCAGAGCCAAAAGTGCATCCTACAGAGAGCTCAAAAATGCCTCAAATGAAATGAGAAGCCATAACATTTATTATACATACTCATACAAAGGCCTATAGTGGCAAACAGAAACTTTTTTTATCAGTCAGAAGTTCCATAACAGTAACATTGTGTAAAAAGAATCATTTCAGAGGCAGATAAAAAAATTGTAGATAGTAAAAGTATGTAATTTTTCATATTTTTCACTGAAAAATTGATATAGGAACAGGTGAAATTGGCCAGATAAATAGGCATTTTTGTCCAATTCACAGGTGGCTTCTGAGTGGCTGAGTTCTGACCAATTAGAACATGTGTGTTCTGCACTGTGCACAGGCGTATTAGTCTTATACACGGCCTTACAGTTATAGGTCAGGTGGAATCTGCATTCTGGCATTCTGCCAAATTGTCCAGATTGACAAGAAAGAAAAGACATTGAATCATAAATTTGGTAAGGAAATTTTAATGAACTGGTTTAAAAAAATTCTTAGTTAACAGTTAAAAACTTATAAGTCTGTACTATGATCTTAAGCTGGCATAGCTAATAAAGCATTTTGCAATTATGATATTAATCTTTATTTTATTAAAAGGTAGGTAGCCTAGCCTGCCTGGGGCCAGGATTGTAGCTGTCTCTTATACACATCTAGATGTGTATAAGAGACAGGTACGTCATAATATGGAAATATCCTGACTTAAAAAAAATCTCACCGCTTTTCCTTGACAAAAGCAGGCACCCAGTATGTCTGGGCGTTGGCTTCGAGTAACTTCTCCTGCATGTGCTGGACCCTGATGAACCAGGAGGGCACGGCGCGGTAGATCAGAGGCGTGTCAGAGCGCCAGCAGTACGGGTAGCTGTGGTTGATGCGGTCAGCGCTGACGAGGCGACCTGCCTGACGCAGGTGTCTGCTCAGATAAACCATTAACATTAACCACTGAGGATCTACGCAAATATATCCTATGATAATCAACCATGAAGGAACATCGCTAATATTGACCGCCACCATCAATATTGCGATGGAGCACAGCATGGAAAAATAAACGAATTAAAGCCATTCGAATAACCACGTTTCCCCTTCTACTAGTCCTGAAATAGTGCCTCATACAATGACGGTATTACGAGCAGAAACAATGCATGTGCTTATTACAACACAATTAACACTAGAGAAACAACGCAGGGATGAAACGCATTAGTTTGAAAACATATTCCAATGAGAGTGAACATGTCTGTGAAACAACCTAAAAATAAAAAAAAAACGACATTACAAGAGCATAATTTTCATTACAACGACTGATACACGAGTAAAGACAAAAACAGACGTTTGCTCTATTTTCTCACCATTTATATACTTCACTATAACATGAGACCTTTCATTCATACATAATGCGGTCAACATGATGTGTAACGAAACCTAACCTAACAGATGATCTCAAACCCACTTGATGATCTTAAACCCACTTGATGATCTTTTGGTACCGTTGGATAGGTCAGAATGTCAGCTTTGAAGTGAGACTTAAACCGAAAAAGTGAATTTTACGATTTTCATCCCAGAAATTCAGGGCGTTAAGGGTTAAATATGATAATGCTGGTATCCAGGATACGGTACTTTACTGGTCTACCAATAGGACTCAAAAATGAACTTGAGGGAGAGTCTAAAAAACCCTCTGCTTTGCCACTATGAGTACATAATTACATATACCATACTTGGGAGTTGGGGGCGGCCGGGCGGGGCTTATGGGCACAACCAATCACAGCTTGAAAGCATTCCCATCAACCAATCACAGCTTGAAAGCATCCCATCAACCAATCACAGCTAGAAAGCAGATAACATTACAATTCCATTATCCAACCACAGCTGGAAAGCTGAAAGGGGCTAAAATCACAATCCTGTCAACCAATCACAGCTGGAATTCTGAAAGAGATAGGATATGTAAATAATGGACTGAAAGTGTAAAGTTCCTGGCCTTTCCAACTTTTCAGGTCCTGCTTTCCAATATGCTATGTGTACTGGTTAATTTATTATCCCTCTAGAATTCCACACTGCGGGCCCCCAGTCAATTTACCAGACTGTAGAGCATGGCACAACATAGGTCGAGGACGCCGATTTCATGCACCAAAGACGCCGAGCAGGATGCCACTGGACGCCGGTCGCCAATTTCGGTGACAGCGGGGCTGATCATGCAATCTATAGTTTATGGTCGGTCATGGCTGCCTGAGCCATAGTTTATGATCGGCCATGGACGCCAATTTAAGGTCGATGTGGCTGATGGAGAGCTTGAAAAGACGCCGATATCTCGAGCTAAAAGGCCCTACTCTACAGCCTGGTCAATTTAGAATATCAGGCATATCATCAGACATCAATCATCATCTGTTTTCAATTTCATCACACAGAGGATTCCTAAAATTGTAGGCAGAATTGATCATTTTACAGTTGGTTTTTGAAAATAGGCTAGCAGGTGAAAAAATGCCATTAGAACAAGTAAAATTGGCAAGAATGGCAATATAAAATGATTTACACTATTTTACAGGCCTTTTTGGTCAATTCAGTTCAGGGGTGGCTGGCTACTGCCCGGCCTAGTGCCTACTACTAGTACTAGTGTACTACTGTGAACTGTCTACTGGCACTGGCAGTACTGGCCACTGGGTACTGCCCACACTCAGGAATCAGGATGATGTATGTTTTCGGTGAATTTTCCCATGCATTTTCACTATTTTTAAGCTATTGCTGTGCACAGTTGGCGCAATGTAATGAAAATTGATTATCTTTGCGCACGTGTTCGTGCAATCCCGGCCATCTTTATTTTAGAAGAAATTTTCTCCAAAGTCATATGGCAACACTGAAGTTCTGAACACCGTCTGTTTACATTTCTTATGTATAACAGCCGCAGTTTACGATTACCGTACGTTCCGTATCCGACAAGGCGGACAACCGGAAGAGTCAGAAGTAACCCGGACATGTCTTACATTTTATTATTGTCAGTTCGACTCGCGTAGTCAATATACTCGCGTATGTTGTCGACTAAAATAGTAGAACTATTTTAGCTTTCTAAAGTACGGCGCACGGCGCATTTTTTTACCAACGTAGTACGGCGCACTGCGCAGGTCGTTAAAATGACAAAATAAATTCCTGCGCACCTGGCACATCTTCCTGACCATGGGCCATGGGGTACTGGTGCTAACTGCCATACTGGTCACTGACTCACTGGCTAGTGGCTTCTGCTCTGTACTGTAGCCTCTGTTTTCCACTTAAATAGCCAGGATTGAATTACTGTAAGCAGTAAGATGAAAGCCTGAGCTAGGCCAAGTTGTCACGCTACCTACTAAGCAATGTAGCTCCATGACTAACTTACTAAGGACCGCCAAGTCTTCATTCTGCCGGCAGCAGGTGCCTGCTGAGGCCTGAGTGCAGGCTTCAGAACACTCCTCACCGATACCGCAAGCCGGCAGCCGCAAGGTATTTATTAGCTTAAATAGATGTTGTAGAAAACGCCTGTCGCCTAATTCCAGACAGAAGACTAGATGGTTGTACACTTATCATGTGATGATGTGAGATTATCGGTACCAACTTTCGAGTTTCATCGTGCAATGAAAGTGTAAGTTTCATCAGCCTTCAAGCGAATCAAGCCCTTCTCCGCGCAGTCCCGTCCCGTTGGTCCGCAATTCGTCTTGGAATGGAGAGACAGGACTAGGAGGACGTGACACTGACATGAGCAATGCCGGACTGCCGGTGCACGTGTAACAACCAAAAGTGTAAATTATTATGAACTTTTCCAAAATTCTGATTCATGATAAATATAATAACTAATTTTCATAAAATGGCTAGATTTTAAACTTGAAAGAAATTTGTACACAGTTTCTTAATTTTTATTGTGACAACGAAGTTGTATCCTCAATTCTAAGTTTTCTGAGGGTTCTTCAGAATCTGCGGAATTAGGCATGACGACTGAATGAACAATTAAGCGTTTTTAAAAACTTCAATGGGATATTTATCTTTCTCCTAAAATTCTGAAAATATAAAATTTTCAACGAAGTGAAGATTACCATTTTAAAGTCTCCTTATTTGTCAATGAAAACAAAAACATTTTAAAATCTTTCATTTTATTTTCACAACAGAATAAACAAAATGCAGAGAAAAAGTTTGAATAAATTTTATATATATTATTGAATTATGGATATAATATGAGGAATATTTTGTATCATAGACTTAAAGTTTTAATGAGGCCCACAGTTGCATTACTTCCATAATTAGAATAGAATAGAAGCGTCGGCGTTGAAGAAATAGGCCCATGGCCAGGCCTGTTACAAGAAGTACAAGAATCGGCAACAGGTCATGATGGCCTGTTGCCGATTCTTGTACTTTTCGTGACTTAATTCACAAGGGATCCGGCCTTTTGAACCCGATCTTTCCATAACTGACGATTGATTGAGATAGCTGCTGGACTTGTTGCAAGGCCCGTAAGGTAGTAGGAATTTTAAGACTGAACATATGCTCCTGCATAGCTTCGTCTAGTCTGTTCTTGAAGGCGTTCATACGTTAGCATTTCTTTATATCTAACAAAGAAAATTACATAGACCAAGCTTCACGTACCGAGAAGGGATAGACCCGCAGTTAATAAAGCAAAAGATGATCGAGGTCGTGGGAGTTTTGAGAGAGATGATAAATTTGGGAATCTCATACAATGAATATGCTGCACTCTCAATCCCTACCAAGTTAAGACGAATGTTTTGGGCATCAAACGCAGGTCTTTTAGTAACCTAACAGACAAAATATATGTCCCAATTTCAAGTGCATCGTACGCCTGGTTCTGGAATATGGCAATTGTGTTAGGGATTGAGGCTAAAAACTTACAGAAAAAGCTTCCAAGGTCTTAAACCAAACTCTCAAATACCCAATTTTTACAAGGTATTGTGGGGGTGATAAGATGGGAGACTGCAAATATATCCGCTATTTAGTCCATCACCCAATTTTAAGTTTGACGAAATCTTTGACGTTGTCTCAAGCTACAACAGATATGTATTGACTAAGCATATTAACGAATTTTTCTAAGTGGGAGTCGTTTCTTCTAGGAACATTCTTATATTTTGTCAGTATCCAATGTGGGGAAAACTAGCTCGAAAAAATGTATGACAAAAGTATGTCTTGCTAATAAGGTAGCACGGAGCGTACTGTACGGGTTTTTATTTATATTCACATGAGCTCGCTGCCTTAACCGGCCCTTTATTTTGTAAAGCTTGCGTCTAATTTGATGGTGGAAGCTTCTCATTTGTTGACAAGTTGTTTCTTTAAAACAAAATATAAAATGGATGAAACAAAAGATTTTAAGAAATTACCATTTTATGTTCATTCTTTGGTTGCATTAGCAGAGAAGTATTTATCGTGCATCATGTCCAATTTTAGGGATCGGTAATAAACACAATTATAATAAGTTAAATATACAAGCACACAACGACAATCAACTCAACAATCATTGCAGTGATGACTCACATATCATAAATAAGTTTAAATAAGCGCGAAGTGACGGTTCTCTCGGCCGAATATAACTGTGAGTCGCGACTCTTATATCAACAAGTGCATTAGCTTATCCATACGCAATACATAAACCCCTTCTTCAGACCAACGAGACAAATCGCCATATGTCCAATTGGAGTCTTTAGCTAATCGCCTTGGGATGATGTAACCTGGAATTGTTGTTATGCCCTTGAATTTAAAATCATGAAAGATTGATTTTTTGCAAGCTCCAACAACAAAATAACGACGTAGGGGCAAGCTCAATGTCAAAATCCGAAGGCTCCAGACGATAATGATGGAACTCTACACCATGTTCAAAAGCTCGATGCAACGACCATGAGATCCGTGGCTCAACCAAGTAACTGAGAGATCCCCGCCAGAACAGATGGAGGTATTTACCACAACTGGGAAATCCACGTTACAACTGAGGAGCAACGGGCCACAGCTGCGAGATTCACTTCATAACTGAGAATCTCAGTGCAACAACCGAGAGATTCGCGCCACAACTGAGAATCTCAGGGCAACAACTGAGAGAGAGATCAACGCCACAACTAAGGAACAACATGTCGAAATAGCAAGATCTACCCCATAACTGAAAGATCCAAGCTACACCCGCAAGAGTCCTTCAAGTAATCTTTTACTGGAAGAGAATCTTGCTCTTGCGCGGGGCGGTCTTGAGGTCCTGCTGGGGGACTGCGGACGCGTTCTTCTGCTGTGCGGACGCACCGGAGTCTTCCTCCCACTTGAGCACCGCGTCAGAGATGGAGTCTAGCACCTTCGTCACCGATTCCAATGAGCGACTGAAAAAACAAGGTCGGTAAGTATATGAAACGAAAGTATTGAGCGGGTGAGTACAGGCGTTGAAAATTACCATCTATTAGTGCATATATGTACATATGTCATACGTGAAATAAATTTTAGGAGTGGCCTAATAGGCAGTAGTCGTTGCAAGAAACAGGCCATGGGCCTATTTCTCCAATGCCAGCACTTATATTCTATTCTATTCTATTTATCTCACGATATTTTTTTTTACGACCGTCTATGGCAATATGATTCTAATTTTTACTTGGTACAGATTTCAGTCAGCGTTACCTAATCTTCATGTCACACAATTATTGTCAAAGGATGAAGACTCTCCCAATTATCATTAGGCGCCATTTACAATCCCTTTCTTAAAATTACTGATTGTGGATTCAAAAATTATTAAGCATTTTTGTAAAGTTGAAAGTCTCACCCGCCACGAACACCTTCAAGGAGGCCGATCTCGTCCTTCTTGTCCCAAACTTTGGCGGCACCAACGGCCAGACTGCGGCCGTAGGAGGAATAGCTGGAGTAGTCGTTATCGAGGCTCTTGCCCAGCCACTGACTGATGACGTCGAACAGCAGCAGACCGAGGATGATGGCGCCGGTGACGAGCCCGATAGTCTTGAAGTCGATGGACTTGATGAGGGACGGTAAGTCGTACCCTACGGTACGCAGAGCTGAGTCCACGTTGGTCATGATGTTGTCCGCCTGGTGGAGGGCTGCTGAGGCTGGCATGTCGGAAGATGTTGGATGTTGCGACCACAGAACTGAAAGAAAGTGTGATTGACTGAGTACTCAAATAGCGCTATGGGAATATCGAGTTTTGGCCGGCTAAAATAAAAGTTTCACGATTTACAAAAATCTGTTCTTTGGTGAAAAATTTACAGCCTATAAAGTGACTGTCGATGGAAATATATTCGATTTTGTTAGAGGAAGAAGATATTGGATTCGAAACAAGCCAGCGTTTGCTCCACGATGCCAATTAAAGAATGCAGTAGAATAGATTGTTATTGTAAACATGCAAGTCATGAAACACCGAAATGGGATGATTTTTTCAAAATTTCAAAGGAAGTTAAATTTTTCACTCTTCACGTCGCTTATTCAAATATCAGAATGTTGACGTTTGGACATGAATAAGAATGCAATTATTATTTTTAAGGCTCTACCTATATTGGCACTTCTCAATGCCTCAACATCTTACACAAAGCATTTTTAACCTTTTTACTTCTTCACTGCTGCAATTATCACGCATAGAAAATATAATAAATTTATATATAATAAAAGTTTGTAAAATAATAGGATGTGCTTCTAAATATTCTAATTTACAAACTCAATTTTCAGCTGAATCCGGTAAAATTACGTTATACTTATTTAGTGCTCACACTATTGGCGAAAAATGAATTATATCTAGTTATTAATATGAATTATATCTAGTTCCATTTTAAAACAGTTTCAATGGTATTCAAGAATTGATATCGAATTCTTAAAGTAGAGTCTCAGGCAACACACAATTTGTATTTTCTGTTATGTTGACTCAACTATATAGCCAAAGAAATCTCACTGCTACGGCTTTAATTGATAAAAATGAATATAATTTTGCCTTTTTGATAGCAGAAAGGATTAATAGTTTATTAAATCAATTCAAGGTATGGATTAATTATGATTTATATAATAGGAGTAAATTCTTTATACGAAGATCTAAGTTTGTCGCATGCTAAGCGCCACGTGTGCGCGGCATCCCTGCTTACCTGAGTTAACCTTCGTCGTCGGAGTTGAGAGAAGCACTGCGGTGAGAGGGCAACTCTCCCGCTTATATAGTCCCGCGCTCCCACGCCACAGGAAACGTCGCGGGGGTAACCACTTTTCGAACAATAAAGTTGGCTTCATCTCCCGCCGAGAGTGAAAGGCGGACTTGAAAAGTGCGGCTGGATTACGTGAGCAATTCATTGTGACATGCGCATTGATTGAGTGCGACGTGCGCGCAAGTCATTAGAGACGTCTCATTGGACCGAGTTATTAAACTCGCGTCTCTAATGAAACGTAAAGAAGTGAGCACAATGACCTTCAACGGGCGGGGTTCCAATGCCAAGCATTGAAATGTCGCACATCGGCTGTGAAAAAAGGCATAACAGATGCCATAATTACAATAGCTGCTGCGATCACTGATCTTTTTAAGATGATTACAATTAGTTGCTGATCGCACTGATCGGATGACCTTGTCGCACAAACGGAACCGCTCGCCCAGGAAACTTTCTCGGGATCAGGCGGGGTTGACCTCAGGTAATACCGAGCATCTTCCCTCACCCTGTAGAAGTGACTCATGTCCTTCCGGCCCGGGCGGCTTTCTGAAATTTAATTAATTATTTGACCTTGGCTTCCATTATTTAATTACCCTCAAGGACAAACTACAGGAACACTTACTGGAAAGAACTATTTGTACAGAAAACAATGAAAAGGAGTGAAAACATACATAACATAACATCGTAATGTCGGCACTGAAGAGTAGGCCTGATGTGGCCTGTCGCCGATTCTTGTACTTTTCGTGACTTGTTTACAGAAAAACCACTCGAAGTTATTAGTAAATTGCGAGAAGCTTCACTAAAACTAAATTCTGACCGGTAGGACTGTGTCAAGGAATTTTATCACAACATCCAATCAACACACATCCAATCAACACACATCCAATCAACACACATCCAATCAACACACATTCAATAAAATCACATCCAATCAACACACATCCAATCAACACACATCCAATCAACACACATCCAATCAACACACATTCAATCAACACACATCCAATCAACACACATACAATGTACACTCCGTATCACTCGATATCGAGACTGTTATGCAGTTTGCTGATTAAAAAAAATCGCTCAAAAACGACGGAACATATTACATACAAAAAAAGATAAAATTATATTAAAATTTAGTACGAACTATTGATGTTGCAATAACAAAGAAATAAATCAGAGACCGCTGCGACGAGCACCTAAAATGTGATCGTTAAACAAATAGAAATTCTGCAACATATGAAATTCTTGACAATGTTGCAACTGATGAGAGCGTAGACCGAGACTGTAAAGCATGTGTGGCAAGACGATCATAACTCGCTCGTTAGAATCCATCACTTTATTCGATGTGCTTCACTTCACATAATTTTCCATGGGAGAAGACAGCACATGCTTCGTTAATAACTGTTCTGTTGGTGTTGCATCATACGCATTTGTTCTTACGCACACTCAGAGGAATGTGTGAGACTGTGTCCAAATAGCGATGAACGTATTGTCATCTGTGCGGGCCATCTTTTCCCAGTGTGAACCAGCATAAAGGGCATATCAGTGCTCGTGCCGCGGTAAAATAGTGTGTCGTTATTTGGACAACGTGACCCATTTATTTTATGAGTGTAGGCCTAAATGCATAGGTGGGCAGTAGCGAGCTACATGTAGCGGCCGTTACTATATATAGCGGCCGCTACATTTTCAGTAGCGGTAGCGACGCTACATTTAAGCAATTGTAGCGGTAGCGGTAGCGCCCGCTAAATTTAGAGCATGTAGCGGTAGCTGTAGCGGCCGCAACATTTCAGAGTAGCGCTGCCCAGCTCTGCCTAAATGTTTCCAGTCTATTCCGAATAAGAGTAAACTCTTTCAAACTTCAAATTTGTTCATGAAACATAACAGAAATAAGAATATATTCAGCCTTTGTAAGAGGCGAGACAAAATATGTCACTGAGGCTCGACTTTCACTCATTGCGTCGGCAAATTTATATTTTTATGCGTAAAAATATTATTAATATTACATTTTTTATCATTATTTTCAACCTTTAGGAAGATGAACTCAGCAAAAACTTTGGCATGAGTTTTATTGCATGCAAATTTGATAATTTTTCCATCCATGAAGTTTACAGTCTCGACTGAAGGTATGACTTCACTGAAATGACGTCATCGTCGTCCCTGTTATGTCGACACTGAAATTATCTCATAATTTTCATCAAGCCATCCAAACTTGATGCTGATTATGGTGAATATGTCGTAAATAATCTGGTGTATCTCTGTTTCTTAAAAAATAAATGTAATTGACTATTTTTTGAGGCTAAATTGAATTGGAATGGAAAATATGGTCCATTACAGTTCGATGTGGCTCTAGACGAAAGCAGCATTCAACTCGGTAGTGATACTGTTGAAATTTATATTCCTATGTCAGAAAGCACACGATTAATGTTTCGAAATGAATCATGAAGAGAATGAATTCCTCATATTAATTATGAATTCCTTATAATTATATGAATTATGAAGAGAATTCCTCATATTATTCAAGCAGACGTGACGTTAGACGAACGCACGCCGCCTGCCTTGACATTCCAGCGCCTTGACGGACGAGAGTGAAAGCGCTACCGCAGCCTGGGCGCGTCTGTCCCGTGATGCTCGGTGGGACAGACGCGGTCTGGGCAACGGGTCTGGGCAGCGGGTCCGGTATATCACTCACGCATATAGTACGACAGTGTGATGAAAGCTTGCATTATATATCATTCATGTATATTACACAGCACTGTGATGTATGGTGCACTCTCTTCCACCCTCTATGCTATTCAATTATAATTCACAGCAGTGAATTGTGTCTGACGTATTGTGTATTATCCTGTATGTCACTCATGTATATTACAAAACAGCATGCGCCCAAAGATGCAGAAATTTGCATAGGCGCAGCAGCATCCCGATTATTTGGTTCGGACGGTTAGAGAAGATCACTTTGAATAATTCTTTTGTAATGAAAAATGCGTTTTATTGTTTAAAAGTTCACACAATAATGAGAAATGCAGCGCTACAAAGATAACTATGCTTGTTTGCGTACATGGATTATTGACCAGTAAATGTTGTTCTGTTATCGTGAAAATGCCTTCCTTCTCGTCCAGCCCGCACTAAACGAACAATATCGAATGTCGTACATTTTGTGTCTTTGTACCTTTGTACATTCCAATATTAAACTTAGGTGGATACAATTCAGAGGAACCGTGTTGTGAAAAACGTAGTGGTCGCATCAAGTCACCGTTATTAATTGTTGCACAATACGCACAAAAACTTTTCTTTTCTGTATTGGTAACGATTTTTACCTCTGTTATCGAGGAGACGGAAGCTAAAAATCGCGGTGGTGAAAGGATGAAGCCAAGCGAGAACTTGGCAGGCTTTGGAAGAGCTCGAAACGATCGGAGCTTTGTCGGTCTATACGCTGCGACACTTCCGCGCTCCTTGCTATGTACGATCAAAGTCACCTTCACGTAGGAATTTAATTTTGTACTTTAACCCTTCGTTTCTATGACGATAACTCTTTTTCTTCACGCCATGAGAAAATAATTTTATGCAATTCGCTCAAGAACACCCTTCGTCTTTATGACGATAACTCTTTTTTTCACGCCTTGAGAAAATAAATGCACGCCATTCACGCAATGACGATAACTCATTAATTTTCAAAACATTAAATACACAGGAAAAGATCGTGTTTCCAGCCATTAGATAAGAGCATATACAAATAGCCTTGAGTATCGTGTGTGTTTCGTTGACAATTGGTGAAGAGTTTTCCTTTTAAATGTAACTTTCGCGCTTACTTTTCCATCGTATACTATTTCTTTACACATTTTACCATTTGTAAACGCTACACGCAATTTATTCCAGTAGCAATATTGATACAACCAGCTGAGACTGAACCCTGAATCCTACAGTACTTAGTGAACCCATCAGTAGCTATTGAACCCATCAGCAGCAACTGAACCCACAAGCAGGAACATCAGTCAGATTTAGTTTAGACCTCCTCATCATCATTCGTACATTAGGTTTAATCTTTTATTCGATCGTTAAGTTCGGGAAAATCGACCGAACGCTCGGTAACAGCAAGATTTTCCTGGGGTGGACTTTAAGAGTTTGACGCCGGGGACCTGACGCGGATGGGTGGCAGATGTGTGGGTGGCAGATGTGTGGGTGGCAGATGTGTGGGGTGGCAGATGTGTGGGTGGCAGATGTGTGGGGTGGCAGATGTGTGGCGTGGCAGATGTGTGGCGTGGCAGATGTGTGTGGCGTGGCGTGACGGACGTAACAGATGTGAAGGGTATTAATATAACACGCTTAACTTCATCGGAATCAAGACATTCTAAAGTTCATGGGAGGATTTCAGGCATTTTGTAGCCAAATTGAAACTATTTCAGAGGAAAAAAAGCACACGCTCAAAGTGCTATGTGAAGTTACAGAAAACAAAACATACAAGGAGATACGCGGTATTCCATTTTAGATAAGGATACCTTCAAGGAAAGGTTTTCTGATATCATAAAGCAGTTTTAAAAAACGAAACTATTTGATGGCATCTTAATTTATTTAAAGGGCGATAACAAATTGTATATTATCGTACAACATATTTTTTATGTTTTTGTTAACACACATATAATTTTAGTTCTAGTTCTTATTTAAGTTCTTATATGTTCATGTTTGAATACTTTTTTTAAGTAATTATCTCATAATGTTTTCTTAACTACATAATTCGTAGCGAATTTTTCTATTACAAACCTGGGAATAATGTTCAATGGCGATAATACGTCGCTCGACGTAAACTAAACGTTTAAACGCTTAAACTACGTTGATCCAAACTCACATGCCTGTTGCTGTTGAGATATATAACCTACATGCTTACCATTCAGCCATGGTTGAATTAATACATATGTATTGATTCAACCATGCATTCAGCGTTGTGGACCTTTTCTTGTGATGCCTTCTTCAGTTGAAATAATCAGTATGTGTGCGGAGGTTCGGTAATGTCAAATAAACAGACATACAAAGATAACAGGAAAAGAAAGAGACCAAGAGATCTCAAGCCGAAGTAACTGTTTTACCTACGCTACCGACGTGAACGCTAAAGGAGAAATTTTAGCAATTTATTGACATTAATTGCTTCTACATAATTAGTATTTATTTACTCAACGAATCAAAGTTGGTGTAAATGAAAAGTTTTATTCAACGAATTTATTGTTGATCATGTTGATTTGAAGTTACCTAAGTGGTTAGTCAACATCAAGTAAAATTACTTTTAATAACTCCATTTGAAATTTATCTCACTTTTAGGTTTCTGTGAATTTCTCTTTACTTCACGTGCTAATATGCGTAGTAAAAGCACGCAGTTTTTTGTGACAAGTTTCTAAGTGTTCGTGTTGTACTCTTGCATAGAACCCTATCGTTTCCTTGTAGGCATTGACATTCATGAATGTTTAGTTTCAGGGTCATTAGGTGTGACGAGAACGACAGGTGCAAGCACCTGACTAAACTATCGGTCCAGTTGCCAACGTTACCGTCTGCGCCAGGTGCTATTAGGCAGTATTAGCTTTACATTCGATGTAACTTATATTCGTTATGTAAGCCACCCTGAACATAAAAGTTTTACCCCTTTTCCTGCGGAACATCAGGGATGAAATTAAATGGGCGGTGTGGTGGATGAGTTATTTGGGAGCCTCGCCCTGCCTTGTTTGTAACGACCGCGCCTCTCGTGTTGTTCTCTTTACATGTGTAACAAAGCGTATCCTGCATCTGATGCCTGACTTGCGACTCCCGTTTAAGTTACTGGCTGGCCGCTCGCTAGATGGCGCTGACAGCGTTTCCGAAATCTTAGGATCGTTTATACACAATCCAATATTTTGGCTTGAAATGGCATGAATTCCCCCTATTACTTTTTTATTCCATCGTTTGGAATATAGTGAGCGTTAAAATATATTTTTAAACAATTTTCTAACATCCTAGTGTTATTTGCTTCTTGCATGCACCAGTCACAAAGGTTCAGTTATACGTTTGAACTTCCCATACTCTCAGTTGCTTCTGAGACGTTGCTGTGTAGGGAGTGATGGTGTTGATCGTACCTTGTCCGATCAAGAGAGTCTCTGTGTTCGTGGATTGAAATGCCGAATATCTTCTAAACTTTATTGTTTAATATCAAACGACGTTTGCATATCATTTACCGTGAGTTCTGGAGCTAAGATTAAATGAAGATATAATGATTATCTCCACCAGGCTCCGAGGGTAACACCGTAACACTGTGACAGCGAGGGCAGGAGTTCTCTTTTCCGTCTCTTTCTACTTTCTAGCTGTTTCCTTTTTTGTTTTAAAGGAACGCAATTTTTTAACCTTTCCCAATCTCCCATTTCACCCATTTATCTTTTTTAAGGGTGAAAATCCATAAATAGTCGGCAATTAATATTTTTTAGTCTCAGGATTCCTTAGATGTAAAGCACAGCTAAGGCAGTAATCAGTAACAGCTGAGATCAATCCTCCAAGATGCCGGGATCGCGGGATGTTGGGCATGTCTCGTAGTCTCTACTCTCGAGACATCGTCCATGTCGTTGTCCATGTGCGATCATAGTGACAAACCACAAATTTTCGGAATCGGTTCATTTTTAATTTCCACATTTACTCACAATTTAAACCAATTTCTTATCATCTTATGTATGATAAATGATAATGCAGGTATCCAGGATACTTTACTGGTGGACTCAAAACTGAACTTGAGGGACCGGTGCGATGGTACAGCAGGGCTATGTTAGGCCAGCACTGAGGCGCAGTGTACGTCGTGCACTTACGAAAGTCGCTGTACATTTAAGTCGTACACTTTCACAGCCGCGAGCCATGATTTACGAGCTACCAACAATACAGTGACAGGACAGTTGCCGCCCAATTGTTTTCAATGTCGTCACAGCCGATAACTTGATATTTCTCGTCACGTTTACTTATAAAAGTCAGCTATTACAATAAATTGTTTTTATTCACATTCCGCGAAATATGTGCTGTGGCGACTCGTCATCAACGGTTGCGTACTGACCGCCATTTCCTATTTAATTGAAAGAACTTATTTCCTGCATGTCTGACACCAATTTAATTCGCACAAGTTTTATTTGTTTACGAGTTTTTGATTTGCATAGTTGTAAATAAATAGATACTATTATTTGCAGAACAAAATGGGCGAATAAAATATATTATTTGATAGTTTTGACACTTGGAAATGTGAGCTCGTTCTCTGTCCTGAAGAGCGTGGATAAAACAATACAATGGCCGCGGCGAGAACAAGGCTGAGCGAGTTACGAATACAACTGTTTTCACTCAGAAAAATTTGTCAGACTTTGGTCCAAATAGCGATACCCTTTTTGCCCTTATGTGGGTTAACCTGACCCAGTTTGGCCCGGCAATAGGGCATATCCAAGGCTGGCTGTCCATCCTGTTCCGTTCATAATTTACTGTTGACGAATCTACGTCATTGCTAACTACAAGCCACGCTGTACGAGTCTGTATATTATGATTTCCTGTCCGCACTACACAAGCACTCGTCAACCCGCGCGCTAAATAGCGTCTGTGGTCAGTGCTGACCTTGAGCCAAGAACTCGGCGTTAGTGTTGGTACCTCTAGTAAACTAGTCCCTGGTATCTTCAATGAATGAGTAGTAAAATAGTCCCTGGTATTTTCAATGAACGAGTCGCCACTCACAGGAGTGGGTTGCCTCTTAGAAGAGTGGGTGGCTACTTAAAATAGTGTGTCGCAACTCAGGAGAGTGTTCGTTGTCGCTTAGAGTGCAGTGGCAAGTGATGTAACCTAACGTGTGTTACGTATGGTGATTGGTGTGTTGCCCTTGAGGTGAGTTGTCTACTGAGTGTTGCACACAGTGTGTTGTTAGCACTATTTTGTTCGCAGAGTGTAAGCGTGTTGTTGGTAGCGTGTCTCTCACAGAGAGACCTGAGTGCGAAACGTTACTCAGGGGTATCCGTCGTGAGCGGAGTCATCATATAAGAATCTTGCTGTTACTTGACCGCTTATCAGGTCGCGGTAATCAGAATAATCGCTCGTTATCTCACCACATGATGAGGCATGCGTGTGCGGCCTAAGTAAGGTCACACGTTCTCAGACGCTACATTATCTCGTACTCAGATATTTGTTTCTTTCTGTTGAACTGAGTCGGTTATGTTTTGTTGAATCACTGTATGTACTTTAGTTCTATGTCTTGAAGGCAGGCCGTTAAGTGACTTGCGCCATTAAAAACACTTTAGGGAACGAGTTTTTAAGTAAAGCGATTTGGAAGCAGTCAAAAACTTGAGTCAACTTATGATCTGTTGGCTGGAGTCAACTTATGATCTGCTGGCTGGAGTCAACATATGTTCTGTTGGCTGGAGTCAACATATGGTCTGTTGGCTGGAGTCAACTTTTGGTCTGTTGGCTGGAGTCAACATATGGTCTGTTGGCTGGAGTCAACTTTTGGTCTGTTGGCTGGAGTCAACATTTGGTCTGTTGGCTGGAGTCAACATTTGGTCTGTTGACTTAAGTCTAATCCTGTTGTTTAGGACAACAGGAGCGGAGCTATAACAACAGAGCCACGCATGCAAGGCTGCACTTCTTCAGTTCCTTTCTGTTTTTTTTTTTTTTTTTTTGTGTAGATAATGCTTGCGTGTTGCCGTCAAGTGATGTAACCATTACTTAGAACGTCGCTCGTTCCTACCTCTCACATGACGCTCTATCTTATCATAATTTAAACTTGAATCATATCCTCTACTGGTGTCATTTCATTAGGTTCGCTACCACAATACATTCAAACTTCAACTTGTACACTACCACAACATCGTTCAGGTATACTTTATTTAAGTTCAGGTAACACGTACGTCGTCATCACTCTCTCTCTCTCTCTCTCTCTCTAAAGTCTATACTGTCACAGCACGATTTAAAGTTGTCAACACTTTATGACATTCATAATAATCATCATATAAAAATTCTACGATCTATTTGATTTATTTGAAAACATTCTACAAGATATTTTAAACCTGCGCAAAATTAAGCTGCGGCATTTTCAGTGCCAGTTTTCTGTACTCGATTAACTGTTATGTTTCCTAAACATTAATTACCTACGGAGGAAAAATCACGATACGGAGATATATTTAATCAATATACTCAAGTAATGCCGTCAAACTTGAGACTTGCAGAGAACTCATTGAGGTTCGCGTGTTATCAAGAGTACGTCGTCATTGAACTGTTTCTCAAGTGTTTCTTAGATTTCTCTTTGTAAATTTTCATGAGATGGTAATATAAGAATAATTATTTTTTTCTGGATATAAATTTCCGAAAAAATTTCAATTGAAACGGTGAATCGAATTTAACGGAGTGCCTTGCATGTGTGGTCGGAAGAGGATTCCAACGTCGACAATATCGCGTGCAATTTCGTGTGTTTGAGAACGAATTGCCTGCCTGTAAGATACGAGTCCCCCCCGCGGGGTCTCCTTATATACCAGACATTCGCTACAAAAGCGCGTAAATTTCATTGATAAATAACAATGTTTGCGGCCTTAATATTTGTTAATACATTCTATTATATCTGTCGAAGGTTTTGTACAGCCATTTCATTTGCCGGTGTCATATATATACCCCGATAAGTTGATCTACGAAGCTACGGAGAGGTTCTCTTTAGTTTATTTCACACCCCTGCATGGGAGACTTCAAAATCCTGCCTTAGTTAAAATATTTGACGTGTTTTCAATATCATGTTTTATTCCGTGAGCCACAATAGAGGTTGGACATAACGTTTAAAAGAGTGTTGCTAATCCTATAGAATTTCCTTTGACAGAATGTTAAAATTCCTGTACAAATTACATGGAAACTCGCTTGAACAGAATGTTCGAATTACTATACGAAACCTATGGAATTTTCCTTTGACAGAATATTCACATTTCGAAAGGAATTCTATCGAATTTCCCTTATTCACATTCATATGCAAATCCTATGGAATTTCGCTTCGAGACAAAGTTTAAATTAGTATATGAATTCTATGGAATTTTCCATGAAGAACTGATCAATGGAAATTGTTGTATGAAGTGCAAATGATGTTATTTTGTTTTATACTGGAGTTTATTTTATATTTTATACAAGATGATGTGAGTGGGAATTCCTGCAGTCATCTTTAGTGCGGCACGCAGGTGTGGCCGCCGCGTGGCGAGTTCGCGGTCGCTGGTCGATACCGCCGCCTGCCGAGCTCACCGCCCGACAAATGATCACGGTTTTTCTCGTGTCTTAAAGCGTATAAATTATCACATTTATCCGGCAGTCTAGAAGCGCCGGACTGTTAAAATTATCACATTTATCCGGCAGTCTAGAAGCGCCGGACTGTTAAAATTATCGCATTTATCCTGACGTCTAAAAGTGTAGGACTGTTAAAATGATCACATTTATCTGGCAGTCTAGAAGCGCCGGACTGTTAAAATTATCGCATTTATCCTGACGTCTAAAAGTGTAGGACTGTTAGAATGATCACATTTAGCCGACAGGCTAAAAGTGTAGGACTGTTAAAATGATCGCATTTATCCTGACGTCTAAAAGTGTAGGACTGTTAGAATGATCACATTTATCCGGCAGTCTAGAAGCGCCGGACTGTTAAAATTATCATATGTATGCTGACATATAAAAGTCTTGGAGTATTAAAATGATGACATTCATACCTATGACCAGAGGCCGAAAGATGCAAGCCTGAAAAGCATCTTTCAAAACCCTTGGTCGCGCACGATCTTTGCAATAGTTACGCGTCGTAAGAATATCATGTTTCACGATTTCACTTAGATGAAATAAAATTTAAATATATTGATGGCTATGAATGTTTTAGACAGGTTAATGTTACCGAATAACGCACATATTCCGCCTGAGAAATGACACTGCTCAGAACCTTGACGTGAAGTGTGCAGCAGTGCACGCTGTTGGTTAGAGTGGCTTAGGTGTCACCACAGAGCACACATAGAGTGTATACAGAGCACACATAGAATGTATACAGAGCACACACAGTGTGTACACATAGTAGCCCTCTGTATGCGCTATCGCATGCATTCCTGTCACATCTGCATTCTCGAGCCTGTTTATATCAAGTTGGGGCACTGCAGTTGGTGGTTGCATCAAGTTATTCATTCAAAGTTCATACACAAACTTTTACAGATACATCATCTAACTGAAGCTGTACGCCTTGCAATACCCTTGTGTATCCGTTTCACCCTTTAACCGTGCATGGTTCACCGTGCCCCATGTATTCCGTGCATTGGCAAAAATTCATTCTACTCGTTAACCGTATTCTTAGGTAATCGTTTTCACCAGTTAATCGCGAATGTGCCATTATTTTACCTGTTAACCCTGAAAGAGGACTATTTTTTTCGCTAACCGTGCTTGGTTAGTAATTTCACCTGTAAATCGTGAGTGAGTAATCGTTTCGTTTCCCACGCATATCGTTCACGAGCAACAGTTTTGCTCAGGCAGCATCACTGCTATAGTTGATGAGCATCAGTCGCCATCCGCACTCCTCAGTTCAGTTCACGCAGGAAACTTCCTCTTCAATAAATTATGTCCCTCTTGGAACTAAACGAGGTCTTACATATCTACATGCTAAAGCTTTATATATCTGCGCAAAGCTGATTTTTTTTCACAGCCTCGGTCGACTCCTCTCTCAAAGCCATGAATTGGGACACCGATTTAGTAAGCTTGACGGGTTCCATATTCCATTCAATATAATAGTGATGATTTCTTCCCACTACAATCATAAAAATGTCCAAATGGTGCTCCACTTTCTGCACGTAGCAGCACTGAGGTGCAATTTTGTCGGACGAAAAATGGATTTGAGTGACCCAAACAGGGCAAAATGTACCTATATCGCTATTTTTCCCATTAATTTCTCTGGATGGGTGCTCTACTCACAGTGGAATGCTCGATGCTCTTCTACCCTTCAAAATTTTTGTTTCGTAGTTTTTGCTATTCTTGCATGAACAGAATTCGTGGGCCTTTTATGGGCTTGTTGTGTACAGTTATGTCAAGGTTGACAAACGTAGCACGCTTTAGGCGTCTAAACGTCGTACGTAGTAAAAATGTGCACGTTATCGACGGCCGCCACGCCTTCGAATCGCCGATGGCCGCTTGCGAGCAGGCGCGATGATTCGCTCGTCAGCTTTGCTCATCGGCCCCGCCTCAAGACGAAGCATTCAAGGCCAAATTTTGACATGAGTAATAGAAACCGTGACCCTAGACACTGTAGCCTAGACACTGTAATTATCGTTTCTTTCTTCATGAAGTAAATCTTGGAGGTGCACAACAGAGTGTCTGGAATGTCTTCATGACGCTTGACGTCGATCAAACATTTTGTCACTTTAAGGATTTTTGAATTTTTTACAGTGTGTAACACGTAAAATCATAACATTTATGGGCGTCAACTGGACGTATTTTCGGCCTCATTACCTGAGATGCCTTCAATACGATCTATATAAATTGACCTCACCGTTTGACCCAGATATTCAGTACCCAGTTTTACAGTGAATTTGTTATGCACTCACCCAGAGATACTGGCAATCTAACACAAACTACGTGGCGGAAATTCGTTGTTGTTTTTTTTTTAATTCGGAAATTCGCCCAAAGTAACAAGAATTTAGTGACGGTAGATAGCGACATCGATGACAGGAGACTTATGTGAATAGAATTCGTTATAAACTCTTCTTGTTTTTCAGGCATTGGGCTACACCATTCCTCCCCCTGGGTGGGGATGTGCCGGATGCTGGCCGCGTGAGCACTGATATGGGGAGTGAAGTTCCCCTACCGTCCTCCCACACAACGATGCCTTCCGCCACCGCCCGACATTCCCACCCTTCCCCCATGCTCGATGAAAAACTTCTTCCCCACATCCCTCCTCCAGCGGGATTTGGACCCACACTCCCCACCCAAGATCCCCACGATTCTCTGGACGTGAGGCTGCGTTGTGGCAAGCGTGAGTCGGGTGGGGACTTGCCATCGTCTCCTCTCTCCCCTCCTTCCCCTTTCCAACACCCTTTCTTCAGGCGACAGTTGGGGCTTGCTGGGGACCCGTGGTCACGGTTTTCGGGCTTCGGTTTTCCTCTTTTCCCCACTCATGCCGGCAACAGACTATCACATCACTCGTGGGGCTCAAGCTTCCCAAGGCTGAGTGGCCCCAGCTCTGGGGAAGGACGCGTCATTACCATTGAGGTCGAGTCCAGCGATGATGATGGGGAGGAGAGACCGTCCAAGAGTGGGGAGGACCGGCCCCGTCTTCCCCTCAACAGGAGCAGCACGGCATGCACACTTGCCAGCGTCCCCAACACGTGAGTGTCAACGAGAGGAAGGTTCATTCTAAGCGTTCATATCTTAAAGGTTCAATGGCATTTTCCTCTGTCAGGTTTTGCGTTTAAAACCATGTACGTATTTTGAAAAGGACTAAATTGATAGAATTTTCATCAAATAGCAACGCATTGCCATCTAGCTAGACTGCCAGCACCGCATTGCCGCCTCTTCATCTTCGTTCACCACACGCAATCACAATCACAAGGGATAAAGCTTATCACGCTGAGATATCGCATGCATCCTGTCATGCCTCCTCGTCTTGTCTTACGCCAGTGTGCGTGTTGCAGTGCAGAGGATTCAACCCGTACTGTTACTCAACCCGCTGCAGTGCTTTGGCTTTAACCCGTTGCTGTTCAGAGGCTTCGGCCTGTTGCAGTGCAGTGGCCTCAGCCCGTTTCAGTTCAGTGGCCTCTGCCCGTTTCAGTGCAGTGGCTTCAGCCCTTTGCAATGTAGTTGCTTCAACCCGTACCGTTACGGGCACAGTGTACACGCGTTCAGTTTATTTAACAGTTTACAAAACAAACGCCACCGACAGCAACATGAGCACTTCAGTTTATTTCGACGTGCGTTGAAGTCGACAATGTGTTCCCATCATTTCAGTCCAATTGACGGAGGTCGATTGTTCATGTTGCGAGGAGAAACTATCATTCAAAATTAATATCGCTTAAAGTGAATTTCATCGAAATAATTGTAGCGTCATAATTGAAACAATGATATAACAATGTAACGCTCAGAAAGAACTTTGAATATAAGTAGATATTATCTTGAATTCGGTGTGTCCGTGTTCGATAAATTCGCATATTAATCTTATTTTTGCAATGAGTTGCGATGAGTCAAAAAGCGGACGCTCGCAGAGTTCGTCTATCGACTCGAACGCTGGCCTCGCTGCCGTCCTGCAAAGCTGTTGTTGTTGCTGCTATTATTTTAGGAACATATCCGGCTCCTCCGTTGGTGCGGATGGTTGTTCAGATGGTAGGAGTGACGGTCATGACAGTGATGGTTCGGGACAAGCGGTGGCTGCCAGGTCGGGGGAAATTGCCGATGTCTACGTTGTTGAAGATGTAGAAAGCAGCTCCTCCTTTTCTCGTAATTCAACTGATGGATCTAACGGCGTTGTACAGCGCAGGCCTTCACCACAATCCCCTGGCCGGGAAGCCGTGGTTTCGGCCAAAATCAAAAGCCATGTTCCAAGGTCCTCTGGAGCTCGTCGGTCTGTGGTGACAATTCGGCAAGATACGTGGAAGAACTCTTCTTTTCTCCACAATACGCGTAATCCATTGTACGCGGATGCCATAGGCGAGAGGTTCGGCGAGAGGGTATCATGCGAGCTCTCATCCAAGTATCGCGGTGGAGGTCTAAATCCTCATGATCTTCATCATCGTTCAAAGCACTCATCCCGGGGCTCCATTGAAGCCGTTAAGGGCACCCAGCAACCTTCTCGATTAACTCTGTCAGCGCAAGCCCTTGTGCATCATCCCACTCATGCGCCCAGCGTTCCGAATGTCTTTTCAACTGCAATACCTGTAGGCTATTCCACTAGATGTGTGACGACGGAGAAGGTACACGTGAATGGTAGCGGCATCAGAGCATTTACTAATGGCAGGAGTTCTGATGCGCTTTCCATCAGGAACAGAAACCTCTTCTCTCAAGCTTCAGATGTCATCGATTGTATCACAACTGAAGACGAAAGCGACGACGACGACACTCTAGTTGCGTCCAGGTCGTCCAGCGGAACACGATCGAACCTGGATCAGTGCCAGAGTCTGGATCAGCTTGGTGATCTGCTGAAGAAGAAGGCGTTTGTTGAGGACCTTAGGAAATCGGAGTCCTATGACCGCCTCAGCGTTCCCGAGGCGACATTGTTGCGGAGAGCTGCCGAGCAGATCTTGGGCCATGGGGCTCAAGCCGGGCGGGGGTACAACAGGTTTTCTTTGCACCCCAACGCACCTCTGCCTCACCGTGGTGTTGGACCAGTCAGGCCAGGCCAACTCATCATGGGGTAAGACTCGTGCGCTCATTGGGATCTTAGCGTGAAGTGTAACTTGTATGATGTTGTTACCACATTATGGTGCCGCTTACTTGTATGGAGTATGATGAATATAAGGTCCAGACTCCAGGCTGGCTTGCGTGCGTTGTGCCGTTTATAGATGAGTAAGGCTGACCTGCCTAGACTAGAACCTAAAAGATGTTATTCCAACACGCGTTAGAAGAAGAACTGAGGACGAGTGGGCAATGGCGAGCGACATTGATTGAACTTTTGAAGTTTAAAAAGAGCTTTTGTTTTTATCTTATATTTCACTTTGTCCTCAGGGCTGGGCGGGAGTCCCGGTACATCTCGCGCGCCTACAGCGACGGCGTCAGTGAGACGGAGAGTGAGGAAGACGAAGAAGAACACGTCAATTCTGCTTCGTCATCCAGAACTAGCTTCACATCTTCCACCCCTACCTCAACCTCGGCAAGATCTGCGTTTGCTTCTTCGTCCAGCTTCGCGAGAAGTACTCAAGTCCCTCCCGTGGCGGTTGACCCCTCCAAGTCAGAGCTAAGCTCTCCCCGCAAGGCCGGCAGCTTTGATCACTCCGGCAGATCTCGGCTTCCTTCGCTTCACAGAGACGCTCTCTCTCTGGATGGTGCCAAAGCCCCTGGCAGTGACAGAGGTGCCAGAGTGATTCCAATTGTCGTTGCCAGAGACCCGCCCAGAGATCGTTCTGCTGGCAGAGAAGTAGCTCCATACAGACATAGTTACGCGTGTCAAGAATCTGTCTTCAGAGGTGAGCGCAGATATATTTTCATGGTCAGGCAAGCAAGTTAATTTATCGGAATTAATTCTAAAATATGCCTACTTTATGGCAGTGAATGCTAAATATTTTGCCCAATGGGAAATTTTCTCTTCCATGTAAATTTTTTTGTCTCATGCGAAGTCTTTAGTCCAATGCGACGTGGTATTTTTCACTTGTCTGACGATATGGCGTTCATGCCGTCTAAACTCAAAATTTAGATCTCTATTATGAAAATTATCAGCCATAAAGCTCTTTGGGAAGGTTAATTGAATCTTGACCGTCGCTCAATTATTTTTTTCTTTACATTAATATTTTGTTGGGGTTCCCCAGTCTCTTGTGACGGACTTGGGAATGCCATCTCGTCCTCCACGACATACCCTGATCTCGCCCCACCTCATCATAAAGACCAACATACACAACTGATTACAAGAAGTCAACAACAACAACAACAACAAGGAGATCCGCTAGAAAATCGGTTAAAAAACTCGTCGGATGCCAAACTAGAAAATCGGTTAAAAAACTCGCCGGATGCCAACCTAAAAGAAGATTCAACGTCCGAGGACGCGGAGAGCGTGGATGTTGAAGAAAACGTTTCTTCGCGTCATGCGGATGGGGAGGATGGGCAAGAGGGACACTCGAACGGTGTGCCCTGCAGGAATAAAGCGCACCGCATCGCCCTGGAGCTCCTGCACACCGAGGAGTCCTACGTGCGCATCCTGCACCTGCTTGACCAGGTGACTGTACCTGCACCTGCTTGACCAGGTGACTGTACTTGCTTCTGCTTGACCAGGTGACTGTACTTGCATCTGCTTGACCAGGTGACTGTACTTGCATCTGCTTGACCAGGTGACTGTACTTGCATCTGCTTGACCTGGTGACTGTACCTGCACTTGCTTGACCAGGTGACTGTACTTGCACCTGCTTGACCAGGTGACCGTACTTGCACCTGCCTGACTATATGACTGTACTTCACAGTCTCCCCCTGTACAGTGAAAATTATTTAGGCAAACTATAACAAATTTTACCATATACAGTACTTCGATTGTAGAAACTCCCAAAAGGACAGTTCTCCCACCCATAAGACTGTGAGGAGTATGTAGTATGTATTACAGTTTATATGATAAGGTATATTTATTAATTATTCTAATTAATTTAATTTGCAGGAGTTTCAGTTCCGGGTGGACCAAGAGAACAGAGTTCGGCCGATGTTCCCCGCAGAGCATCTGCCTTTAATGTTCTCGAACATCAAAAGCATCTACAAACTTCATCACGACTTCCTCCTGCCGCAGCTCCGGGACAGACTTGCTAACTGGGACGCCCGTCCCCGCATTGGTGAGACTTGCTAACTGGGACGCCCGTCCCCGCATTGGTGAGACTTGCTAACTGGGACGCCCGTCCCCGCATTGGTGAGACTTGCTAACTGGGACGCCCGTCCTCGCATTGGTGAGTGCTAACTGGGACGCCCGTCCCCGCATTGGTGAGACTTGCTAACTGGGACGCCCGTCCCCGCATTGGTGAGACTTGCTAACTGGGACGCCCGTCCTCGCATTGGTGAGACTTGCTAACTGGGACTCCCGTCCCCGCATTGGTGAGACTTGCCGTCCCAGTTTCTGTTTGGAGTCGTTTTAGCTTCTGATAAGGGTTTCTTCAGCTTCTGATTTGAAAACCTCGTCATTAAGTCGGGGTGCCAGTTTCTCGCAGTTTTTGGCTACATTTTTATGTATCTATGTTGTTAGGGATGGTATTACAATGTCTATGAAGAGAGTGACTTGACGGTCTGTGGTTTTTCGCGTATAAAACATTCAAATAATTTTCATACGTTCTACACCTCACTGAAATTCTCTTAGTAAAGCAATTTAAATTACCTTTCCAAACACAAGGCGGGTATTCTTGGTACGCGTATATCAAGATGAATAGCTTCCAGAAAATTTGCACAAGTGTGTCTAGTTGGTGATGATATTCATAATATTATACCGCCAATGGAATTATACCGTTCACAGTCGTCTATCCTAATATTCCTCATACATGTTGTATTCTGTCTGCACTTCTATCCTGTTTTTTCAGCATCGGTTATAGATGCTCACTTATATCTACTAATGCTCTCAGATGCTCACTGTTGCTCACTGCTGCTCCCTGCTGACTACTTATGCTCACTGATGCCTACTTATGCTCACTGATGCTCACTGCTGCTCACAGGAGACATCATGACGATGCTGGCGCCGTTCCTGAAGATGTACGCGGAGTACGTGCGTAACTTCGACCGCGCGTCCGCCCTCATCTCGCAGTGCCAGGCCAAGAGTGCCAAGTTTGCTGCCATCATGGCTGACATCCACGTGAGTAACTAGCCCATCATGGCTGACATCCACGTGAGTAACTAGCGCATTATGGCTGACATCCACGTGAGTAACTAGCGCATTATGGCTGACATCCACGTGAGTAACTAGCGCATTATGGCTGACATCCACGTGAGTAACTAGCCCATTGTGGCTGACATCCACGTGAGTAACTAGCCCATCACGGCTGACATCCACGTGAGTAACTAGCCCATTATGGCTGACATCCACGTGAGTAACTAGCCCCTCATAGCTGACATCCACGTGAGTAACTAGTCCATCATGGCTGACATCCACGTGAGTAACTTGTCCATCATGGCTGACATCCACGTGAGTAACTAGCCCATTGTGGCTGCCTTCCACGTGAGCCCATCATGGTAGATTATGGCTGGCATCCGCGAAAAGACTATATTTGCCACCTTTACGCACACGTTTCTAAGCCACCTACATTCCATGTATGTTCCTCTAGCGGTCAACCCGCTCTCTGCTTAGTATCATTAGTAGTTATTTTTGACGTAGCAGTCCCAGTCTAGAGCGTCTCTCCTTCTCTTCCATGCTCATTAACACCTCCCTCCTACAGGCACTGGAGAGCTGTGCGGGGCTGTCCCTACAGCACCACATGCTGTGTCCTGTGCAGCGCATCCCTCGCTACGAGCTCCTGCTCAGGGACTACCTCAGCGCCCTGCCCCCCCACCACCCTGACGCCCCCGACACCGCCAGTGGGTGCTGCTCTAGCACAGGGGTTGCCATTCTCTGGATAGTTCTTAATGCAACACTTTTAGTTTGTCCTGTAGTGCTTGATGCAACATCAACAGTTTGGCATCATCAACAATTACACTTATTCTACCGTCACCCTATGCCCCTGTTGGGATGAGGGCTTCCCTATCCGTTGAGGGCTTTACCCTCCTGTTGTCTTCGGGTCTAATGACCCGCCACTTTGACCCTATGCCCAGGAAGCATTGACGTATACCTGAAGTGAAAACAACAGGAGGGTTATTTCCATGGTACCGTCAGTCCGCAGCTCAAAGCAGCCTCGTCTCCATGGGCGAGCTAAAATATGTGGCCAAGTGGAGCTGTCCATGTTTAGGATTAGCGTTGGCTGCAGGGCTGGTTTAGGAGTTAAATTTATGTTCCCCTCTTACTCCATCCCTCTCTCGCTTGATGCCCCTCACTCCATGCCCTGATGCCCCCCTCACTTCATGTCCCCCACAGAGGCCCTCCACTTGGTCGCCACGGCCGCGAGCCACGCGGACGCGTCCCTCTCCAGCAGCGACGCGTTCGAGACGCTGCTGTCCCTGCCGTCCCGCATCAGCGGATGCGAGGACCTCGTCTGTCCCACGCGGTCCCTCATCAAGCATGGCCGGGTCGGCAAGATCTCGGCCCGCACCGGGGACCATCAGGAGCGCTACCTGTACCTGGTCAGTGTGGGACCAGGAGCGCTACTTGTACCAAGTGGTTGTGATAATTACTTAATGCCACTAGGCTGTGTGTTGATGGTAGTATGGTTATGGTAGTAATGGTAACTAATGGACTGCGTTTACTGCAGCTGAGCGACCTGCTGCTGCTGTGCGCCCCCCGTCTAGGAGGTCGCGTCATTCACGGTCCCCCACACCGCCTCCGCGCGCGCTACAACGTCAACAACTTACAGGTACAACCATTTATTTTAATGATCATTTAAAGTACATTACTTTCAATGGAGTTATCTATTACTCTGTTGATGATGGCTGTTTTTTGGTAATGATCCATTAGAGTGCATTACTTTCAATGGACTTATCAAGTGCGTTGTTGATGATGGCTGTTTTTGGTAATTTATTTGTCACCGCAGGTGGTGGAGGGCGACAACCTGGAGACGGCGCACAGCTTCTACCTGCAGGACGGCCACAAGACCGTCGAGCTGTACACGCAGTTAGTAGTACTGTCCTTAGTGCATGTACTAGTTCCTTAGTGCCTGTACTAGTTCCTTAGTGCCTGTACTAGTTCCTTAGTGCCTGTACTAGTTCCTTAGTGCCTGTACTAGTTCCTTAGTGCCTGTACTAGTTCCTTAGTGCCTGTACTAGTTCCTTAGTGCCTGTACTAGTTCCTTAGTGCCTGTACTAGTTCCTTAGTGCCTGTACTAGTTCCTTAGTGCCTGTACTAGTTCCTTAGTGCCTGTACTAGTTCCTTAGTGCCTGTACTAGTTCCTTAGTGCCTGTACTAGTTCCTTAGTGCCTGTACTAGTTCCTTAGTGCCTGTACTAGTTCCTTAGTGCCTGTACTAGTTCCTTAGTGCCTGTACTAGTTCCTTAGTGCCTGTACTAGTTCCTTAGNCCTGTCTCTTATACACATCTAGATGTGTATAAGAGACAGGTTAAGACCTGTGAGTCGTGTGACCAGACTGCGCTAGCGTCTTGTAGGTCAGTTAAGACCTGTGAGATGTGTGACCAGACTGCGCTAGCGTCTTGTAGGTCAGTTAAGACCTGTGAGTCGTGTGACCAGACTGCGCTAGCGTCTTGTAGGTCAGTTAAGACCTGTGAGATGTGTGACCAGACTGCGCTAGCGTCTTGTAGGTCAGTTAAGACCTGTGAGTCGTGTGACCAGACTGCGCTAGCGTCTTGTAGGTCAGTTAAGACCTGTGAGTCGTGTAACGAGACTGTGCTAGCGTCTTGTAACCGTATTTCTTACCGGGGCATGAAACACGAGTAGTGCTCTCCTATTTACTGAAGCAAGTTCAGAGGACTGGATTAGAAGGGACCACGGTGGTCCATTCGAAGCAAGGCAGTGGTGGTCTCCGACAAGCAACCCTCTGTGTGATAGGGTCACCGTGTTGACAGGGCCCCTGTGTAGATAGGGGATCTGTGTAGATAGGGTCCCAACACAGGGTCCCTGTGTAGATAGGGTCCCTGTGTAGATAGGGTCCCTGTGTAGATAGGGTCCCTGCGTAGATAGGGTCCCAATACAGGGTCCCTGTGTAGATAGGGTCCCAACACAGGGTCCCTGTGTAGATAGGGTCCCAACACAGGGTCCCTGCGTAGATAGGGTCCCAACACAGGGTCCTTAACCTTACCTTATGACCTTATGATGAGTTTAGGACGTCGTATTCCAAGGTCACGCTGATGCGCCGCCTTCGTCGTCCTCCGTCTCCGAGTCGTCGTCGGATGTAACGTTGGACGTGTTCCGTCTATTTGCCCTCATTTGGGCCAGCTGATGCAAGATGCTGTTGCTTGTCACTTGCTGAGGGTAGTTTCCCATTACTGGACAGTCCGGGATCTTTCTCAACCACTTGTCCAGTCGTCTCTTGAATGTTGCAAGGGTGAACTCCCCTCCTCTCAGCGCTTTTGGCAAGGCATTAAAGAGCCTCGGTCCTACCACGGACAGTGATCCCTCACGAAGAGTCCGTACTCTGGCCGCGGCTCGGTAATTAAATGGAGGAATCCTGCACAGTCTCCCCCTTCTTTCGTTGTAATATGTCGTTATTTTGGAGGTCTCACTCTCAAAGTTGGGAGCCAGTCCGTTTATCATCTTCCAAGTGTACAGTATGATATACCTTTCCCTTCTTCTCTCCAGTGAGTACAGTTCCAGGTGTTTCAGCCTTCCCCAGTAGTTCAGGTTCAGCTCCCTCATGCCGCTGATCCTGTACGTGAAGGTACGCTGCACTGCCTCCAGTTTCCGCACCGCACCCGCCTTGAGTGGCGACCAAAGCTGGCAGCAATACTCAAGATTGGGGAGCACGAGGGCTCTGGGGGTCCCTGTGCCCCCTACACAGGGGGTCCCTGTGTAGATAGGGTCCCAACACAGGGTCCCTGTGTAGATAGGGTCCCAACACATGGTCCCTGTGCAGATAGGGTCCCTGTGTTGATAGGTCCCTGTGTAGATAGGGTCTCTGTGTAGATAGAGTCCCTGTGTAGATAGGGTCCCTGTGTAGATAGGGCCCCTGTGTAGATAGGGTCCCTGTGTAGAACTGTTGTATCCTCGGCAGGACATCTGAGGAGAAGGACGCGTGGTTGGCCGCGCTGTTCCTGGCCATCGAAGACACGTACAAAAAACGCAGCTCCCTGCGCCGGGGGGAGGACAAGGGGGATGGGGGGGATCACATGGCAGGTTCTGGGGGAGTTCTGGGGATGGAGGCCCCTGAACTGCTCCCCATGGAGGGGATTAGCAGCTGTATGAGCTGCGGGGCCTCCTTCTCCATGGTGCGACGCAAGCACCACTGCCGGGCCTGCGGCAGCGTCAGTAATATTACTTAAAGAATTACTAAGTATTATTAGAATTACTTATTGATGATTACTCTCTGATTAAGTATTTATGATTATTAATTAATCTTAATACAAATGATATCAAGAATTTCTTGATATGTAATTCTTATTAATTAAGTCGCAAGTTCTACTGATGTGAAGAAATTGTGAATTTCCAACCACAATTTTGCCCCATGATGCCACTCACTCCCCCATGGTGCCACTCACTCCACCATGGTGCCACTCACTCCCCCATGGTGCCACTCACTCCCCCATGGTGCCACTCACTCCCCCATGGTGCCACTCACTCCCCCATGGTGCCACTCACTCCACCATGGTGCCACTCACTCCCCCATGGTGCCACTCACTCCCCATGGTGCCACTTACTCCCCATGGTGCCACTCACTCCCCATGGTGCCACTCACTCCCCAATGGTGCCACTCACTCCCCCATGGTGCCACTCACTCCCCCATGGTGCCACTCACTCCCCCATGGTGCCACTCACTCCCCCATGGTGCCACTCACTCCCCC